AAAAAAAAGGACATGAAAACATGAATAAAATTGACCCTTTAGCAGAAGAAGCTGTGATTGCTGACCTACTTCTGAAAGTGTAAGTTGCCTGGCTGGTATGCTGACCTTATGCCTGCAATACTTTCAGTCACAGAACAAGAACAAAGTAAACAGATTAGTTGATCAGACTTCCAACATTCTTGTTAAGTTACAACTGAAATACTGAAGCAAAAGGGATGATATAATAGCCAGGCAACAAGCATTTTCAGAAGAGGTCACCAATGGATGTTTCTGTTCATCGTAAAAAGAAAAAAAAAAAAAAAAAAAAAAAAAAACCACACCAAAGCTTTCAAAGACTTTTATTTAATAGTTACAAATTGTATCTACACACACACTTATATATATATGTACAATAAAAATACAACAACAAATTCCTAATATAAAGCTGGCATTAACCAGTAAGAATTAAGAAAAAGTGCCAACTGGATAAAGCCAATTAACACTCTACAAATCAGAAATATTCGACATTAAAAAGACAGTGGTCTGAGGAAACGTTATTTCCAGAGTGGTGCCATATTGACATAAACAAAAATGGCTGCTGCCACAGGTCAGAAGTGGCTAGGTACACAAGGCCAATTTAAAGTAAAACTGTGTCCAGGCTATGTATATTCTAATATTTGTCCTCAACATGCAATAAATAGGATTTCAAACAAGCCCTCTGAGGCACTGTGGAGTAATTCATGGAGGAAACAGGAAACACCTTGGAGTCCAGTCTCGGCACTCTGCTCTCTCCCTCTTCCTGTGCACTTGCTCTGCTTTCATTAGAGATCAGATAGCTGGCAGGCAGCTAAGTCCACTGCATCGGAGGGGGGGGGGACTGAATGGCAGAAACAAAAATGCTTCTGCTGTAAACATGGATCAAGAATTGTTCCACAATACCTGCAACTACAGAGGGAAGTGAGGACTTGTTTTAAAGCTAATTAACCATTTGTTATGGATAGGCAATATTTGAATGTCTATTTCCTGACTACATCTCTACTTTCAAAGCCTGTTTTATAGTTTCACAACTACCAGAACAAAGAAAAACCTGTTAGTGTATTAAGACACTGCTGGTCGCTCAGCACAGCTACTGACTAAAGCTGTAATTGCTGGATTTTGCCTGCAGTGCCACCTGCTAGTGAAATCGTATATTGCAGCATGGCCATGTATAATCTTCGAGGTAGTCACAGCTTTTTTTGATCAGTTCTGCTAAGCAGCACTAGCAAAGCTGGATTGGCAAAATTGCTTATTTTATTCATTAAAAATGCAAGTTTTCCCCCATCCCCAAGCAGAAAGAAGCCTATATCAGCATTACATGAAATAAAAAGCCACAGCACTAAAACCTTTTCACACAAAAAAAAAAAAAAAAAAAAAAGATGGACAAGTCTGAAGATGTGTGAGAAAATATACAGAACTCATTCCATAATGAACATATTACCACAGGAATGAATCCTCATTGAACTGCTTTCTATCCAGGTAAATGCAGAAATAGCCTTCTCTCAGTTTGGTGGTGTGGACCGTAGTGGAGAGTAAGTAAGCAGTAATTGTTGGATAAAGCAGGAGACAGGCTGGCTATTGGAAGAAAATATTATTCTCATCTGTGTGTTTACACATTTAATTTCTCTCAGCATTTATTAACTGTTCAGCGGCGTCACAATGTGTATCTGCGGCATCCAGAGAAAAAAAAACATTTAGAATTTCACAAGTTAAAATTTGTGAAGACCGTTCTAAGGCCAAGGCATTCTTTCATCACCAACAGTATTCACAGTTTCTCTACAACAGGAAAACAGATAAAAACAAAGTCTCTCTAAGGTGTGAGAGATTGGGATGGGGAATGGAATGGGGTTATTTATAAGACTAGAACCACAACTGTATGCTAATTATATAACACACAATTCACTAAAAAGTGTGCAACTCTTGCATAAATAAGTACATTGTAAAGGGAATATATCGGTTTTCAGTCAGAAGTTAATGTAGGAATATATACAAATAAGATCCTCACCAACGGCCAGGTAGGATCATGGATAGGTTATTAACCCCTTGGTGCCTCCCGGCCCTTTAAGGGTTTCAGAAGTCGGGAGGAGGGCGTGGTTTACGGTCATGTGACCGCCGGGACACACCGTCATGGCGGTCACATGATCGGGAAAGGTCCTGATCGAAAGAGGAGATCGGGACCTTTCCGTGAGTACCGGACATGTGTGCTGGGAGCGCGTGCTCTCAGCACATATGTTTTTTTTAATAGAACACAAATGTTTGGCTGCTCAGCGTCCAGACCCAGACGCCGGGAGGCTGCACATTGGTGTTCGGCCGGCGTGAAGAGGTTGAAGGAGGTTTACAATTTAAACTGAAATCAAGGCCGGGCATGTTAAGCCTCCATTCACAAAACAACATTTATTTTCGAGGTTAAATAGCCCTATGCAGTCAATTAAATTACGAACGGGCCACAAATGCCTGAGAAAATATAGGTCCTGTGCTATTTTTTAAAAACACAGCACAAAGTTTACTTTCCACTGTAATACTTGGCATATCTGGCTTTTGGGTGCTTGTAACAATAAATATGGTAAAGTACTACAATACAAAGACAGTGCCTTCCCATTATAATGTACATTGGGGAGTGAACGAGCCACGAGGAGATCCCTTGAATGGGCAAAATGTCTCACGACAATGTTCATAACAGCCAAGCTGCGACAAGTTTTACCATTGGATGGCATTACACATCAAATCTAAAAAGTTGCAGCTCCTAAGTAATGCATGTACAATCGCTGTGGAAGAGAGGCATGCTTCTGTGTAACCACATGGTGCAATGCAATCCAGAGATTTCCGCTTCAAGTGAACACCCAGTTAAAGTCACCTTTTCCTGAGAAAAATATCAGAGGCGGTGGCTGACCTACTTGTCAAAATGCTATATGCCTGTTTATACTACTGATCCACTGGCTTCCGAGTCAGACCCTGGAAGATCGGAGTGAAATCAGAAGAGCTTCTCTGAATACGTGTACTGAGATGGCTACAAACTGTTGCATCCAGACAACAGGTATTGAGCGGAATGTGAAGTCTCCATTGGATGCCTGCAAAGATTTCCTTTTAAGTGTTCTCTGTTTGGGACAATTCTCTGGGCGCTCAATACGTTCTTATGCATTCTGCCCAGTATGTCTTTAGCTTTACCTTCTCCAATCCCCATGGTAGACTATATAGGGGCTACCAAACCAGCTGTTGGAAAGCTCTGTGCCCGGCATGGCAGTGGTCACAAACCATAAATAGTGGACTTTTAACTTAGCCCGGCGATGGGCAAACTTTGGCCCTCCAGGTATTGTGGAACTACATGTCCCATGAAGCATTGCAAGACTTACAGTTACAAGCATGACGGGACTTGTAGTTCAGCAACAGCTGGAGGTCCGCAGTTTGCCCATCGCTGACTTAGCCCATATACTCCAAGCCCTGATGAAGGGGGCGATGTTGGGCTCCATGAAAGGCTTTGGAAGTTCTCATTTGATCCCATCTCTGACCTTTTATTGGAAGTTCTCGTTTGATCCCATCTCTGACCTTTTATTGGAAGTTCTTGTTTGATCCCATCTCTGACCTTTTATTGGAAGTTCTTGTTTGATCCCATCTCTGACCTTTTATTGGAATATGATTGCATCTGGATTAACTTGCATTGTGACACATCTATCTCATATCTATTGTTTTTCTCCTATCCCCAGTACACGACTAGCATTGGCTTTTTTATTATCAGGAAAACTTATACAAGAAACCTTCCCTGAAAGATACAGCTTCTTTTCTCTGGTCCAAATACTATTCTGACAAAACTCCCTCTAAGAGGACCTGTCATAAAATCATGTTTTGCAAAGGACTCCGCATACAAATGTTGGCAAACAAATCACCAAGAACTCGTAGCAAAAGGCGCAATGTGAACGATGATGCCATTCACAAAACAGATATCTTCACGGTGTACAGGTACACTTTACCAATATAAAGCAGCAAAGTTAGTAAGCATAATTAGTGTGCAAACACAAGATCCTGAAGTATTCATTATTAGAAGTGCAGAATGTGCCCCTACTCTTGCTGTTTGCGCACATTAAACTCAGGTTACAGCCATCCCTTTTTTTTTTTTTTTTTTTTAATCGTTTGCAGATTTAATCTGTATAAATATCCTTTGTAATCAGCCCCTAAGAGTACAGTGTTCGAGGACTAGGATGGGATGCTGTGAAAGGATAACCGCGTAATACCAAAGCCACCTGCTGTACATACACAAGTGCCAGATTCCAGGTTTAACATTTGCCAGGGAGGCACTTAAACAAATGAATGCCACAGATTTATCAGATGACATGTCTGCCTTCAGTCCATGCAATTAACGAGAACCAGTCATGAATGAAGAATTGGCCGAATCTGAATCTACTTCTTGAATGGTATAGTCTTGCTGTGTACGGATGGCTACTTGACCCATTATTTATCTCCACCACGCTCCCACTGTAGGTGGAATTACTGCTCTGAAAGTCAGATGGAATCGCCCGCAGCAAACTGTCGCAGACTCCTCTAAATTCAGAAATAAAATCAAAAGCCGCAAGTCCAGCTGCAAGAGCGGCAGAATATACCTTCGAATGGCCTTGTAGAGGGAGATGGAGCAAAACCGCTGCAAGGAAGCCTCGCTGCTAAAGTAGGAGATATAAAGACAGAGAAACCAAACACAATGGGCTTAGTGATGGAAAGCACCTGAAGGCAACCGTTCCTATCGACTTTGTCAGATGCTCCGATAATGCCTCGGAAACGTACACTGAACATCTGACTGAAGGCTACGGTGAACAAAAGGCCCTCAGCCACCATCACAAGGCCTAATGTTCCTAGAGAAATGGACTCATAAGGCACAAGAGTAAAAAAGTGCAAATTTCACATAAAAAAAAAACAAAAAAAACACTCGGCTTTCATCGGCAAAGTGTGTTCGGTGTCCTGGAAGGTAGCAGTCTCTGAATACACCTCACTGGGGAGGGTTACTTCGCTCCGGTCAGACATCCTAGTTTGCTTAGCAGCTGTTGCCTTTGCACGTCACTGAAGATGGACACGTGTGAATTGATGCTGCATACCTGAAAGAAAGAGACCGTGATATGTACAATGCTACTTTGAGGCTGTTAAAGCAGACCTCCATGCCCCCCCATTTCCCTACTGTTATTGCTTAAAGTGGAGTGCCACCTGAAAATAAATAAAAAAAATTAAAAAGTTAGCAGCTTCAAAAACTGTAGCTGCTGACTTTTAAAATACAGACACTTACCTGTCCTTCGGTCCTGCGGTGTCCTCACCACCGCTGGTTTCACCAGCCGTCTTCTCTTCCTGGCGCCGCCATCTTCAATGTGGGCACCCGGCTGTGACAGCTTGCGGCTTCACAGCCGGGTGCCCACTGAGCATGCGTGTTAAGTGCTGAGCTTTGTGAATGGCCCCAAAGTCTTCTGGGACGGGTCACGTGTCCCAAAAGACTATGGGGAAGACAACTTCCGCTTCCGATTGCCTAGGCGATCGCAGCGGAAGTGGGAGCGGGTACCTGTCAAATTCGGGTACCCGCTCCCCAAAGGTGCCAATCCCTAATGGGGAGCGGGGGACAAAGGCTTAAAGCGGCACTTCCCCTTTTGGGTGGAGCTCTGCTTTAAGGAATTTCCCATTCATTTCTGTATCTTCCTGTATGCTTTGTTGTATGAAAAAGAAAATGGGATTTTTGACTTATGAAATCAATTTCTTGGAGTACAGTATGACCACCTCTACCCTCTGGGGTCCTTTCATTGCTTGCCAAGGAACTCAGGAGCAGTTGGGGGCTCCTGTCACCTGAAGGTACCTGCCTATATCACAGTCGTCTATGAATCCGTGTCCTGTACAGGCACTAGATTTACATGACTTTGTCATCCCTGACCCGACATCTCACTACAGGAAGTAGATGGTGACCCTGGATGATGCAAAGAACAAAGATGGCGTCATCCGACTGAAGTGAAAAGCAGTTAAAGGCATTGTCAGGGGGGTACTGTGATCTCTGGAAAAAAAAAAAAAATGAATGAAAGCTCAATAAATCTGTATCCAACCAGAAAGGCCCTTGCACTACATTATTAAAGATCATACTGGCAGATTTTAATACATTGCGCCTCCCCCCCCCTAAAAATTAGTAAACGTGTGAATCAAAGACTAGGTGGCAGTCTTATAAATTTGCAATGCAGAAACTTGATGCTGAAAAGCTCAGGATGCACTAAAAAGATCTATTAGAATGGCCTTTCCCCAGAAAGGGAGGAACCCTATATTTTGTGGAATAGGCCTAAACCACAACCTGATGGAACCATCTAGGAACAAGATTCAGGGAGCCCTCTGCAAGGTCTTTCTGGAAGAACAGAGGAACTCTGCTGGCTGTAGGGTAGACTAAGGCTGCCCAGAGAATATTCCTGGTTTTTTTACCCCTTTGTTTAACCAGCGGGCGGAAACAATGAAGGCAAGCCTGGATACCTAAATCACTGCATGTAAGGGAGAAGGGAGGCACTTAGGGCACCATATACTCACAAACCCAGGGAGTCGTTCCACACAAGGTTAAATTGGGGATTGGCCCTCCACACCCTTGACTTCACCCATTGTTGAAGGGCGTACACTTAAGCAAGGTATTATTCATGGAACCTCTGCCCTGGACTTGTATAGCACCCTGTAGCTAACCAGACAAGATGTACTACATGCCTAACACAGGACCCAGTGCCCAAGCAACGTTACAGGCCAGCCCTGCACCTTTGATGAAGTCCAGAATCCCGTCATGGAACACAATTCAGAGGCTGCATAAAATGCTGCCGTTGTCAAAGCAGCAAGAAAAGTGGACTGAAAATTTTGGCAAGTGCACCCAGCAACAAAATACAACTCAGAAGAGACACCTAAAGACACCAGCAAGGAACAAAGGATTGCTGGAGCAGGAGGCGTTATACAATGAAGGAAATAAGTATTTGATCCCCTGCTGATTTTGAATGTTTGTCCACTCACAAAGAAATGATCGGTCTAAAAATCGAATGTTCGGTGTATTGTAACACTGAGAGACAGAATAGCAACAAGAAATTCAAAAGAAATGCATGTCTAACAAATGATGACTGATTTGCATGTTCATGAGGGAAATAAGGATTTGATCCCCTATCATTCAGCAGGATTTCTGGCTACCAGGTGTCTTTCATACAGGTAACAAGCTGAGATTAGAAGCAGTCTCTTAAAGGGAGTGCTGCTAATCTCATTTTGTTACCTGTATAAAAGACACCTGTCCACAGGAGCAATCAAACAATCAAATTCCAAACTCTCCACCATGGCGAAGACCAAAGAGCTGTCCAAGGATGTCAGGGACAAGATTGTAGACCTATACAAGGCTGGACTGGGCTACCAAACTATCGCCAAGCAGCTTGGTGAGAAGGTGACAACAGGGAGTGCTGCTAGACTGATTATTTCTTTGTGAGTGGGCAAACATTCAAAATCATCAGGGGATCAAATACTTATTTCCTTCACTGTATGGGGTCCACAGTTTTTCCAGTCTCTGTCTACTGCCTAAGTCGTCTCTGATCTGTCTAGGTCCTATATGAACAAGGAATGTATCTGCTTCCTCATACTTAACCACCGTATGGTACAGCAGGGAAGGAGAAATCACCAGGGGATGTGCATTACTTTGTAAAGCTTTTGGCAGGTACACAGGTTCCCAAACTGCTCATTCACATCTTCATAGGGCTATGTCTACTGCCAAGTGTTCAATGAAAACAGATCCTTATTGACAATCTGTTTTCATTTGTCCACATGCCTGGGGAGAACAATCCCAAGATGTGCTCCATGCATTTCATGGTTTAACTAGAGTGGTCTAAAGACACTGTCACCTCGCTCATGCAGGACAAAGTGACAGCGCCTCTGAAAAAGAGCCCCCCACCCCGCCAGCAGCAAGTTCGCTGAGAGCAAGGAAGCCAAGCGCCGCTGCATTTTGCCCAGCAAGAAAGCAGCATCACAAGCATAGTTAGTCGGTCTCTGTAGTGACTGTGCTGGCGATTTGCCATAAATGACGTGATGAACTCTAGTGGGACATGGCCCTTACTCTTCCACAGGGTAACCTGCTAGTGTTGCCATAGGAACAGGCAAAAAGCATGGAAGCCCAGAGGACTAGAGAATGTGTTCTCCGATTTCAAAATATTTAAAAAAAACAAAAAAAAAAAAAAAACAACTTCACTGCTGCAAGAACTAAGAGTTTAGAACACTAAACTGTGATAAAAAAAATAAAAAATAAAGTTAATTTATATAATATATATATATATATATATATATATATATATATATATATATATATATATATATATAAAATTAAAAAATACAGTAATTCTATTCAAGTATGTATGCTTAACCCAACAAATGACTGTCTATTGCTCACAGCGTCCTCCAAACTCCTCTTTTTTTTGCTGTGATCGGACTTCCTGTTAGATGGTAGGTACATTCACTCGTCATAGTCCCACTGTGCTTCTGAGCATAGCCACCCCCCTCTCACTTGCTCCTGAGATGGATTAATGTGATTCTAAAGGCTAAAATTTGAATAAATAACAAACATGTCCATACTTACCTGCTGTGTGACGTGGTTTTGAACAGAACAGCCGGGATCCTCCTCTTCTGGGGTCGCCCACCGACGCTCCTGGCCCCGCCCCCGTTGGGTGCCCCCACAGCAAGCAGATTGCTATGAGGGTGCCCAAGCATGCGCACTGCTCTTTGTGTGTCCATTCACACAAGGAGCTACAGCTCAGCCCCACCCACTCTCTCTTCTCATTGGCTGTGATTGATAGCGGCAGGAGGCAATGGCTCCCACTGCTGTCTCAGCCAGTGAGAAGAGTCCCAGGATAGCCTAGACTCCAGTGCACATCGCTGGATCAAGAGGGGGCTTAGGTGAGTATTAGGGGGGCTTCGGGGGATGCTGCACACAGGTTTTTTTTTTACCTTCATGCATAGAATGCAAGGTAAAAAAAACCCTTCAGCCTTTACAATCACTTTAAGGACTATGACTACTACGGACTATGGGACTGCAAATAACATGCACTGCTCGTTCCAAACTACAGAAAGTGAGAGGGAGGAGGGGAGGTTCAGGAGATCATGGAGAATATTATAAGGAAGCAGAAATCCACAGTAAAAACGGATTTCATGAAAAATAGAATGACCAGGTCAGAGACTATGGATATAGTTTAGTGTCACTCTAAGGCAGCAATGGGCAAACTACGGCCCGCGGGCCGTATATGGCCTGGCGGACCTTTTAATCCGGCCCGCGGAGCGTGATAAAAAAAAAAACACAGCCAGGGCAGGCAAACATTGGCTGTCAGGATGTGTGTAGGCGGGGCAGCGTGACGAACGTGAGGGGAGCTAGGCTCCTCTCACAGTCCGCCCTGAAGACCGGAACGGCGCGGGAACACGGCGAGAGGAACGCGCGGAGCAAAGGTAAGTGAATTGACACAGGGGGGACTTGGCTTACTACTTGGGGGGGAATAGTACTGTGGGGGATGAAATACTATATGAGGGATGAATTAATATGGGGGATGAATTAATATGGGGGATGAATTAATATGGGGAATGAATTAATATGGGGAATGAATTATATGGGGAATGAATTAATATGGGGAATGAATATGGGGGATGAATTACTATATGGGGGATGAATTACTATATGGGGGATGAATTACTATATGGGGGATGAATTACTATGGGGGATGAATTACTATATGGGGCATTCATTACTATGGGGGATGAATTACTATGGGGGATGAATTACTATGGGGGATGAATTACTATATGGGGGATGAATTACTATGGGGGATGAATTACTATATGGGGCATTCAATTACTATGGGGCATTCATTACTATGGGGGATGAATTACTATATGGGGGATGAATTACTATATGGGGCATTCATTACTATGGGGGATGAATTACTATATGGGGGATGAATTACTATATGGGGGATGAATTAACTATACTATATGGGGGATTCATTACTATGGGGGATTCATTACTATGGGGGATGGCACATTCATCTACTCTTGGTCCGGCCCCGGGTCCAATATATGAACCCATTGCGGCCCTCAAGTCAAAAGGTTTGCCCACCCCTGCTCTAAGGCCAAATTACTATTGACACGTTTGGTACTCTAGCCCAGAGAAGGTCACTCAGCAAAGGGTTTAGGGTCATTAGTGGTTCTATGTGCTTGGTTAAAAATTACTTGAATGTGTCATCAGTTAGCTTTGGTTTAAGAATTTGATGTGTTACATTGCCAAATGTTTGTTATGGAAACCACCTATAGAAAAATGTGAAGGGAATAAAACTATAGGAAGCAGTCATTGTAGCTTCAGTGTACGAAAACTAGAAGCTGGTTAACGGACTCTTAATGCAATCTTTGAGAATGAACATTATCCTGTAAAACATTTCTGATGTGTATAACGGTGGCTAAGTGGTTAGCACTTCTGCCTAGCAGTACTAGGGTTGTCTGAATCTCAAGCACAGCACTACCTGTCTGGAGTTCGAATGTTCTCCCTGTGCCTGCGTGGGTTTCCTCCCACACGTCCCAAGACATGCTGGTAGGTAATTGGCTCCTGCCTAAATTGGCCCTAGTATGTGTACGAATGAGAGTTAGGGACGTTAGATTGTATGTCCTTTGAGGGCAGGGACTGATATAATTGTACAATATATGTAAAGTGCTGCGAAAATTTAAAGCACTATATATAGTTACCTGTAAAAAATAAATATAACTGAATTATGTGGACAACTGACCATCACACATGAACTTCTTGGACATCTCATTCCAAAACCATGGGCACTGATGTGGAGTTTGTCCCCTACAGCAATCTCTACTCCTCTGGGAAGGCTTTCCACAAGATTTTGGATTGCATCTGTGGCAAATTTATGCCCAGTCATAGATCATTTTTAAGGTCAGGTATTGATGGACAAGCTGGCTCACAACCAGAACTCCAATTCATTCCAAAGGTGTTCAGTGGCATTGAGATCAGGGCTGTGTGCAGAATAATTGAGCTCTTCCACCCCAAACCACATTTATTAGGAGTTGACTTTGTACACCATGGTACAGTCATGCTGGAACAGAAAAGGGACTTCACCAAACTGCTACCACAAGCGCACCATTGTCTAAAATGTCTTTGCAAGGAAATCATAGGCTCATGGAACCTGCAGACCAAACGTCCATAGAGAGTCTTAATGAATCCAGTAGTAGGAATCCAATGGTGGGGAAGGGGATGGAACAGTCTGAATACCAGGGTAGGCTGGCTGGGGTAGAGTGAAGCAGACTCTAATGTGGAAGAAACAGCACCTCTACGGTGTTTTCTTCTTTTGTTTCTACAATGTTGTAGCATAGACCAGCCTCTCAACCAGGGAGCCCAGGCACCCTGGGGTGCCTTCAGGCTTCATCAGGGGTGCCTTGGCAACATGGCCAAAAATTGTATACAAGCCAGCAGGTGGATCAATCTAGCCTTTTAGAACACAAAGCCACAGGTTTTCATTGGGCACTTTTATGACCTTCTAGCCGCTTCCTAACAACCAATGACATCAGTTGACAAGGAGGACGTCGGGTGCATGCACATCATCCTTGTTTGGCCCTCCCCTGCCCTTTCCGGCAGCACTGGGGTCACATTAGAAGAGTGAGTGTGAGAAAATGAGAGACACACTGGAATACTAGTCGGTACCAGTGTGCAATGGCGTATTTGCTTTGGAAGAATAAATCACCTGCAACGTTGGGTGTACTGGATGTGTGTAGAATAGTTTTTTACATTTTAGATTGGGGTGCCTTGAGATTATCCATAATATTAAAGAATGCCTTGATTGAAAAAAGGTTGAGAAACACTGGCCTAGACCGTATGCTTCACTGTACAACAAATTTGGAGGAGTGTCAATGTATTTTTGGCGATACAGGTAAGTGTGAATCAGGTAGCTGCAAACATTTGGTCATACACCATTTACTTTAGTTATGTAAACCGAGACTGTTAAAATTTCCCTTTTATATAAAGAATAAAAAAAAAAATGCTACGAAGAAGTCCACTTACTCTGTTCCTCAAGTCATTGCCAACGGTTGGAGTCCAATTATACCTGTGGAGGAAGGGATCAGTTTGGATTACTATTAAGCCCTAATAGATGTTACTATAGCAGGCCCACTGTATAAAAAGTAGAACTTCAGGCAAATCATTTTTTATATTCTGGATAGAATGGGAAAGAATCAAAGCCTATATTAGGTTTTTCTGGCTGTCAGTATCCCCACTGGGAAGATTTCCCAATAGTTCCTGCTGTGCCACTGGGACACAAAGAAAGGATAAGCTCTATAACACGGAAAGCAATAACAGTACAATCATTATTTTAGTAGTAAGCATTAGAACCACTGTCAGGATTTCATTCCTGTGTTCTTGTTGGCAAAGATATGCTCACTTACCAAGCTGCAGCTTTCCCTCGCTTTATATAAAATGCAACAAAACATACGGCTGGAAATCTTTAATAGAAATCCACCCCTGATATGTCACTGGCAGTGTGAGCTACAGTTCTATAGATCCTTGGTATTTTCTTCCACTTTCACTGTTATTCAAGTTCCTATCCCACAACTAGTATGCTGTTCAGGCTTCGTTGGCTGTATAGGACTCGTGCAGGAAAAAAAAAAAAAAAAAAAAGGACAGAACGTTTTTGTATCCTTCCCCAGAACTGTGCCATGCAATAATCCTGTCTCGGAGCACTACAGGTAGTTCCTTTTGACCGCACGGCTTTTGCTCTGATACAGTATGCACTGTCAGCTGCGAGGCCTTTTATAGAGAGGCGTGTGCCTTTCCAAATCATGTCCAATTTAATTTACCAAAGGTGGACTCCAATCAAATCCAATTGCTACATCTAAGCAATGTTCAAGAGAAATTAAATGCAAAGGGTCTGAATACTTATGCCAATGTGACATTTCAGTTTTTCCTTTTTGATACATTTGCAAACATTTCTAAAAATCAGTTTTCACCTTGTCACAAAGGGGCACTGAGTGTAGATTAACCTCCCTAGCGGTCTGATTATGTCCATATTTCTGTGCTCAAAGCGGTAAATTTTTTTGCATGGAAATATGTATTTTTTTTTTATTGTAGGCCTGTAATTTTTTAGGAATAACGCACTGAAATCTGTCCGAACAAGAGTCTAGTAAACATCCCGGGTATGATAAAATTTGAAACACGAAATCATAAATTATAATTTTAATAAATAATCATAAAAATAATAATATAATAAATTTAATTCAATAATATAATCAAACCAAAAACACTGAAATATGAAATATAGCGCCAAGTTCGCACATCACTGCGCAAAGTCGCAAAATCGTTTTCAGTGTCTGATGATGAATTTCCCTACGAATCATTATCACTCAATTCTGCAAGTGGTTCTAATTTACTATCGCTGTTCTCTAGCCGGTCTAAACCCGCTTTTGACATAAAGGGACGCTTTTTGGACGCCATGGACTTTTCTCAGTTTCCAGGCAGAAAGAACAGTAAAAATGCAGGCAGGGCGCCGGACAAAGCATTAGGGACAAAATGTATGTGAAATGCTTTGATACAGGAATGTTATACTATGTGATTTTAGTGTATTTATTGAATGTCACTTTTTGTCATTTTCAAATTTCCCGCCGTTCCGTCCCCCGTATGTCCTGACATCGCAGGGGACGGAACCCAGAAGACAGATACCAGCATTGGCCGGAGGACATTACAGGGGACACTGCAGGATGGACATCGCAGGAACGCAGGACAAGGTAAGTGAAGAACAGATCCCGGAGCAGCGCCGCATGGTAAGCCCGAGTGTAGCTCGGGGTTACCGCTTGTGGTACTGAAACTTTACCCCGAGCTACACTCGGGAATACCGCCAGGGGGGTTAATAAGGGCTGCACCATAACAAAATTAAAAAAGCAAAGGGGGGGGGGCTGAATACTTTTAGTATATTTTTTGAGCATGACTGTTTGGTTTGCTTCCCCCCCCCCCCCAGCTACAATGGCTGAATCTCAAAATGATGCTTGTAGCAGGGCACCAATGCTCAACACATCTTTTAAGCTCTTTAGCTCAATAAAGACAGAAACAAGTATCAAGGATGAACAATGTCCTTCAACACTCCCTGACTGCAAGAGCTGCTGTCATTCTCCAACTAGAGGTGGGCTGGAAGTGTATAGCATTCTGTACACAGATACTGCCGGAGTGCAAAATGTCCCAACATTGAGAAACCAGGAAGTAGCCTGGTCTTCTTCTTGTCATCAGGGGAAAAAGGAGAAACTGTAGGCAGGATCACCAGGTAATTACAAGATAAGATGAAAGAATTTGGAAACTGGGCACATAGGAACTAAATATTATTACTAATTTGAAACGATATCTATAAAAATGTAATACATGGTTTGCCGACAGTTCAACGGAAGAGCAGACAGGAGGCTGCCACAATGGATGTGAGAAATACCAAAGTCAAATCATACTTACTTTGTTGCATTTTTAATGAGCATATCGATCATGTGTAGGCCAATAGTCCGAACAGGCCCGCATTCATGCAGCAAAAATACAGATATGAGGTTTGACGCATAGATGGCACCGCGATAGTCCAGTCTAGAAATAGGATAAAGCATAAAGCTTCCTTAACTGGAGAGCTCCAGAGAGCAAACATGGAATGATTCCAGAACACAAACAATTCACAGAACACCTTTTACTGTTTTTTTTTCATAGCTTTCTTACGTGTTTAACACTTGCTGTTCGTTGCCATGCAGCTCCTTATTAATGCTCATCACGAATGCCAGCAGCAATGAATTCATAGGAGAGATGTTCTGAATCAGTAGGTCCAAGGCCCAAAGGTTCATCTAATTTACAAGGAAAGAAACTTGGTGGATCAGTACAAGTCAAAGAAAATATCATTCGACCTGAAAGTTTCAGTCTACCCAAAAGTGATATTTTAGTATAGGTGGCGCTCCCATACTTAGCTCCTTGCTTATACTTCTTATAGTGGATACTCCAAGAGTTGGATCTCCATCACAATGCTCAACTCGAATTCTGCCCACCTGTAGATTTCAGTGTTCCCACCCACCTTTCTGTGTTCCGGCTCCTGCTGTTACATTTTCCACAGGGTAAAGGGAAGCAGATGGTGGATGGCATTGTGGCTCCCAGCAGGCCCAAAAGCAAAGATCTACACTAAGCATTGGCAGGAAATTGTAAGCTTTCATTTGGGCAGGAAAATAGGATTTTTGGTTTACCTGTAATATCTTTTTCTTGGAGTACATCCTAGGACACAGGTTAGCTTTATCCATTATGACAGGATTATGCTGCTACCTTTGGGTGATTGGACATTGGCAAATAAAGAGACAGTAATGGTGTGAACCTCATGCACTCCCAAGTTTATCAACTAAATACAAAAAACAAACAAAAACACACCTGGAGAAGCTGCTAGCATTAAATCATATACCAGTGATTGTGTTAAATAAATACAATAAAGAATGCTGCGCTACTCCTTAAGGTATATATACACATAAATAATAAATTAATAGGTGATGTGTAATCAAAAAATTGCATCAATTTAAATAAAAATAATAAAAAGTGAAATCAATTATTATTAATTATTAATTTGTGCCCATGATTCATTAAATCTATAAAAATAAATTCATATAACTGAGAGCATGTAAAAAACACATTTACATATATACATAGATATATATAATACCGTGCATATAGAATCGCACGTGCCTCTCGTGTAGTGGGAACACCCCAATATAACAATGCATCAAACAGTGCTCACAAAGTCCAATAGGTATTAATAGTGATAAAAACGAAAAACATGTGCTTCCAATGACTACTGTTGGTGACCATAAATAAACCAGAAATCATGTGGATCTTTGGGTGAATGTGAATTCTGACAATCCGACCACCATCTGGATTAGCCTCTCACCTCATCACTTCGACCCTTGCGGATCAAAGCGCTTTTGTGGATCCCCCTCACAGATCCTCCAAGATAGCTATCACTCCAAATGTTGCTCCTTGTCGCACCCAAATCTCTCAAGATTAGGTATTCCCACAAATGGCTCCTCTCCAAGTAATTTGCAGCATCAATCTCTCAAATAAGAAATAAGATAGATCCTCCCATAGTGCAGTATATTTTATTCTCCACAGTAGAGACAACGCGTCGGCGGGACGTGGTGACGTATTTCCGGCGTGGCGGCCATCTTGGTACACCTATTTGCAGAGTTGTACACCCATACATACATGCCCTCATCCGAAAGCATGGGGTTGCCACGTGAGTTACAAACTTTTATACTATTTTATGCTATTTGTCCCTACTGTGGAAAATAAAATATACTGCACTATGGGAGGATCTATCTTATTTCTTATTTGAGAGATTGATGCTGCAAATTACTTTGATCCGCAAGGGTCGAAGTGATGAGGTGAGAGGCTAATCCAGATGGTGGTTGGATTGTCAGAATTCACATTCACCCAAAGATCCACATGATTTCTGGTTTATTTATGGTCACCAACAGTAGTCATTGGAAGCACATGTTTTTCGTTTTTATCACTATTAATACCTAATGGACTTTGTGAGCACTGTTTGATGCATTGTTATATTGGGGTGTTCCCACTACACGAGAGGCACGTGTGATTCTATATGCACGGTATTATATATATCTATGTATATATGTAAATGTGTTTTTTACATACTCAGTTATATGAATTTTTATAGATTTAATGAATCATGGGCACAAATTAATAATTAATAATAATTGATATCACTTTCACTTTTTATTATTTTTATTTAAATTGATGCAATTTTTTGATTACACATCACCTATTAATTTATTATTTATGTGTATATATACCTTAAGGAGTAGCGCAGCATTCTTTATTGTATTTAAATAAAGAGACAGGACATTCCCTCCTAGACATAACCACTCCTAGCTAGGCAAGGCTTCAATTTCTGTAGCAAGGCATGAACCACAAGGGAAGAGGGGTGGGATCCCTGTGCATACTGAAAATCCCATTTCCTTTATTATACTTCCCAGGACACAGGGTATCTTTGCATCCATTACAACAGGGATGTCCCAAAGCACAGAATATGAAGGAAGGGCAACATGGCAGCAAGCCAACTGGCTTCAAACTAAAGCAAACAGATTAAAACCCCACGCATCAACCTGCAAAACTTGGAACCAAAAAAGAGACTTCTTGATCTTGAACATCCAATTGGTAAAACTTCATAAAAGCATGAACTGAAGACCAAGTAGCAGCTTTATAAATTTGATCTACCAAAGCCTGATGATGAATGAATGGCATAGAAAGTATCCACACTCCAGGTAGAATGAGCTGTCACTGGAAATTGTGAAATTTGCTCTTTAGACTGTAAGCTTTAGGAATAAGCTAAATGATCCATCAATAAATGGTAGATTTGGAAGGTGCATGACCTTCTGGAAATACAAAGAGAACATCTGAATGATGAATTACAGCACTCAACTTCAGACAACAGCTGAGAGAATGAACCACATCCAATGTATGAAGAGCAATGACCTCCACCGTCTGAGGTTCTGGACAGAAGTAAGACAACACAACGTCCTAATTGAGATTAAAACAAAGCAACCACCTTGGGTTTAAAAAAAAGGCTCTGTAAGTTAAGAGCAGCCATTTCCAAAACCCTCCCAGCCAAAGTAATGGCAACTAAAAAAAAAAAAAAAACTTCAGATTCAGAAGGACTAAAAGTAATATCCCAGATGGGTTTGAACAAAACTCTGCAATACGGAAAATACCAAGTTAAGGTCTCACGGAGTCAACAGGGTCTTTTCTGGTGGAACAATATACGTCACCACATGCACCAAGAAAAGTGAAACATTCAGTCTCTAAAAAGACCTCCAAGGCCAAAATTTGACCATTAAATCGTACTCAAGGCCAACCCCAGATGAACTCCAGACTGGATGAATGCCAAGATGTGGCCCGACAACATAATTTGTGAGGATGAAATCCTCCTCAGTTCCAGATGTAGGTGGATAACGACTGCGTTTGCAATGACCAAAATCCCCAGGACTGAGAGAATGCCCAGATATCCTCTCCAGCCCACCAGGATGGCAGCCTTCGTTAAACACCTCCAGACTCCCCTTGAGACGAAACATGTCAGGGTGGGACGAAATTGGTGCTGACATCACCCACGCCAGCTGGAGCAAGCAGAGAGAGGTGTTTTTACTACATGTAATTTATTTGAAGATGTTTTAAAAGTAGTTTTTTGGCTTACATTAATAATTTGGGGTCTGAAAGTCTGGTAAGAAGCTGTGTGTGCTGGTGGTGGATTCACACCTCACTGGGTCTTATTCAACTTATCAGACACCTGAAACCACGGATGATGGATGTTTAACGATTTCACTTTATGGACCTCTTACTGAATTTATGGACATTTATTCGAATATTTATTCACTATTACTTTAAGGGCAGAAAATTTGATAGCATATGGGTACACAGTGCAACAACTTTCTTGCATGTGTGTATATATGGATGGAACATATGGTATTTTTATGTTGTGAGTGCCGCTGTGAAGAACTTGTCACATTTACATGTGCACTAAGCAGAGTATTTTATAAGGAATATTAGGTTATTATTATTATACAGTATTTATAAAGCGCCAATAGTTCGCTCAGCGCTGTACATTACAAAGGGGGACAGAACATGTGACAGAACAATAACAATACAAAACATGAGGGGATCGAGGGCCCTGCTCTTTTGAGCTTACAATCTAGGAGGGAGGGGATGGTAGCACAGGAGGAGATAGCTGTGGGGGATGGAGTGGTAGGAAGAGTGGAGGAGGTCGGCAAGTTAGCAGGGGGTGGGGAAGGCTTCCCTGAAGAGATGGGTTTTCAGGGTGCGCCTAAAGGAGAGGAGAGTAGGTGATAATCTGATGGGTTGGGACAGGGAGTTCCAGAGGATGGGTGACACCCTGCGGGCATGGGAGGAGGAGACCAGGGAACTAGAGAGAAGGAGGTCTTGTGAGGAGCGGAGTGTGCGTGTTGGGTGGTACATGGATATTAGGTCAGTGATGTAGTTCGGGGCAGTATGGTGGACAGCTTTGTACATCAGTGTTAGGATTTTGAATTTGATCCGTTGCGCAATCGGAAGCCAGTGGAGGGATTGGCAGAGGGGGGGTGGCAGAAACGGAGCGGTTGGAAAGGTGAATGAGTCTGGAAGCCGTATTCAGGTTATTTATTAGATTAAGTGTAATTAAACCCACACTGGTCACACCAAACTGCGAGATATACAAATATTGTCTAAATTCAAGAGATGTGGGTATCCCTATTTGAATCTTGGTGCGCTTTGTGTATTTCATCCAGATCTCCACAGTGATACAGCATGAAAGGTTTCCCCTGTGCAGGAGCTTCCTATAATAAAGCCCAGTCACTGTTTTTTGTGCAGGGTGACTGGTCTTATAGCCTCCCCTACTTTTTCTGCAGGGAATCTGGTAGTGGTAGTGAGGCGGCCTGCTGGGTCCCTCCCACAGCAGTCTGCAAAGGCTATGTACGGCAAAGTGATCTTACCAATACTTTTGATAATTGGCAATGGATATGGGAATAACTGGGTTGAAAAGGCATTTGATGAACATAAGGCACACTTTTTTTTTGGTAAAAAGTTGTACCTCCGTACTTAACACTTCATTGAAATAAACATGGTTTTCCAGGTCACTAGCAGAACCCTCCTCCTCCACAGTCAAGTGTCTATAACTTCACAAGACTGGTAGCTGCGGGGCATGGTCAGATCATTCCTACACATTCAATATCCCTCTGAGGACTCGACCAGCTGAAATGGGTTCTTTTTGTATAAGACAAAGCTTTAGCAATGTTTTCCTCCTGTACACTCCTATTTTCTACTGGCCACAGATGGAGCCTGTTATAGTGAGAGATGGCAGCAGGGGCGGACTGACCATTTGGAAACTCGGGCACTGCCCGAGGTCAGTAGAGGGGGCCCCATGAGATGCCCCTGGTACCTTTTTCATAGGCTTTTTTGAGTTTGGGCAAGGACACAGAGGCCCCATGATCCCCTATTGCCCGGGGGCCCCATGAGTTGTCAGTCCGCCCCTGGATGGCAGATACTAGGGATGCACAGATACCAGGGGTTTTTTTTTTTTTTTTAATCAAAGAGTACCAATACTTTTGGTCAAGTACTTGCTGATACAGAGTACCGATACTTTGTGGTGCAATTTGCGTTAATGGACATAAATTGCACCGCAAAGAATAGCATGCGATTTGACAGAAGCGAGATTCCTGTCCAAATCGCATGAGGTTTCCCCACTGCTCCTGTGTGAACCCAGGCTTGTCATAGCCCAAGTTCACACAGGAACGGTGCGAGAAACCTCCCCAAAGGCATCCCATGCTTAGTGTCAGTGGCAGGAGTAGACAGAAGAGGCAGGGTGAACTCCTATGACAAGCCTGGTTCACACAGGAGCAGTGGGGAAACCACATGCGATTTGGACAGGAATCGCATTCTTGTTCAAATCACATGCTAACCTTTGTGGTGCAATTTGCATCCATTAGCGCAAATCGCACAGCAAAGTATCGGTTAAGGTATCAGTAGTATTTACAGTACTCAAGAAAACACTCGGTATCAGTGGATCGCTAGCAGATACCATCAAGCTCCAATGACAATGCTACCTGGAAATCAAAATGGACCTCCGCAATAAAAGCAGGGTTTTAAAAGGATGCCGTAGATGATCGCAGGCCTGTATTTCTTAGCTGCCATAGTGTTTGTTTGTGAAAATAGCCTCAAACAGTGTAATGCAGAGTATAAATTGTCAGAAACTTCGTATACCAGGTGTGTCCAGAAATTAATGAGAATACTTTAAAAATTATTTTATTGAAAAATTTTACAATTGAACATTGTCCCCTTCAAAGTATGCACCCTGTGAATGTACACAATGCTTCCAGCAATTATTTTTTTTGGGATGAGTTCAGAGCCTGCATAGTGGCTCTTTGGCCGTTATCCACACTACCAAAATGGTGTCCTTTCAATGGTGTCCTGACATGGCATCTTTGCATCTAGTTACAGACTAGAGACACATGAGAATGCTAGAGACCACTGCTAATACCACCTCTTTAAAAACCCGTGCTTCCACATTTGTGCTCCTTATACCCTCAAAAATATATTGTGCCATATTTTAGATTTCTACTAGTAAGATTCTATAAATAAATAAAAAGGATTCAGAGTACTAGGATTTTAAACTCACCCCAAAGGCGAAGACAAGTTCTAACATGGGAGGCAATGGAAGGGCTGCAGACATCATAAAGCGGGTAACAGCTTGAACAATTACTATGAACTCTGCAGCAACTCTGTGGGACTACAGAGGAAAAAAAAGAAGGCAAAACCACACAGAAATGTTTAGCAAATGTAATAAATACACATTTACTTTTCAACATTGTCAATATCCAAAACACCCAATTTTACAATTTTCAAAAAGGGTCATCCCCAGGGGTCACCCTGCAGAGTGGGCGGCTTTCTTTGGTTACTATGCAGCAGGGCAGCTGCTCGGCACTGGACTTAGAAGATATGGGGTTTTATCACCGTAGTAGTTACAATCTGTAGCAGCTGTTTATTTGCCATGTGAGATCTAAGACACTGCTGCCTCTGACTTTTAGTCTCACCAGCTGTGAAGTGAGGTTTTTATTGATGTCACTACTGTACTGCTCACTGTTTTCCTTGCTGGAGAGCAAGCTGTTCCTGAGGACCTGCATTGCAAGAATCTATATGTTGCTGCTTTATACATTCTCTGTATCTGTATCTGTGCTCCAACGTTCCTGCAGCTCCTTGAATTTTACCCCTACTAGTCATCAGGGGCTAGGTTTGATGTGAAGAAACAAAGTGCTATTCCTTTACCAAGACGGCAGCTTCCACACAGCACAGGACAAGGCATAGTAAAAGGTCAGTAATGGGAAAAAATCAGCTAAAAAGGGAGCTTACATGCAATACTGATAAATACTCTTGTTTCTTACTAAAAATATATTGATATTGTCAGACTATTTTTTCAGCTTTTTTTGTTGTGGATGGAGAAGGGTGACCCATGGTAGGGTGTTGGTATGCAAGCAAACATTTCACTTTTTTTTTTTTTTTTTTTTTAATCAAGTAGTTTTTATTAAGGTATTTTTGCAAGTCATACAACATAGCAACAACAAGAGACATAACTATGACATGGAACGATATGTCAGCACAGGCAGGCGCCTAACCGAACATAATATGAACAGTCCAAAAAACAACAAAATGAAAAAAAAACAATAACTGAGGTTATAGGCCACGTAAACCAAAAAAATGAAAGAAAAAGAAAAAAAAAAAAAACACACAAAAAAAAGGAAAACTCTTGTCATATACAGAGATCGTGCAAAATTGCAGTACACACATACAAGATACTCAGAACCAGTATGGTCAGAATCACCAGTAAAACCCGTATCCAAGCGCATCAAATTTTTCTTTAATTCAACACCTAATAAAAACCCTTAAAAAAAAGATGGACGAAACAGACAAAGCACAGCCTACCTTGAGATGAAATGGAGGCGGTAAGTGTGCATTCCAGTGTTTCTGCAACTCATCCAGAATTGGGCATGATATCTCTAGCACCATCTACAGAAATCAGAATAAACACCAAAATCAGTGTCAACACTGACAGCACTTGCAGCTTTAATGGGCAAAACAAGCTATCCAGGAGACAAAAAGGCACACCGACACCTTCTGCACACAGAAGTTAGGCACAGCTGTTCAAATTACTAGTGAAATAATGTGTGTTGGGTCAACTTAGAAGCCGGAAAAAACAAATGCATGTTTATTGACAAATACAACACCTACCTAATCACCAGTACTTTCTTTATAGGGATAGTGATTATCAGTCACCTGGGATATATCCAGCCTAGCCTATACTATATGCACTAATGGCAAGGTATATACAAAACACTAAAATTTAGTTTTTTTTTTTACCAAAAAGACAGAATCTTTATTGAATAAAAAATATAAAACAAAAATTTAACAGTACAAATAATTGTGTGACAGAGTATACAGGAATGGTAGGCAACCCATTAACCTCCCTAGTGGTCTGATTATGTCAGTATTTCTGTGCTCAAAACGGTAAATTTTTTTGCATGGAAATATGTTGTTGTTTTTATTGTAGGCCTGTAATTCTTAGGAGTAACTAGTAAACATCCCGGGTATGATAAAATTTGAAACACGAAATCATAAATTATAATATAATAATGATAAAAAAATAATATAATAAATTATAAATTTAATTCAATAATATAATCAAACCAAAAACACTGAAATTTGAAATACAGCGCCAAGTTCGCACATCACTGAGTTTAGTCACAAAATCGTTTTCAGTGTCTGATGATGAATTTCCCCCACGAATCATTATCACTCAATTCTGCAAGTGGTTCTGATTTACTATCGCTGTTCTCTAGCCGGTCTAAAACCGTTTTTGACCTAAAGGGACGCTTTTTGGACACCATGGACGTTTCTCAGTTTCCAGGCAGAAAGAACAGTAAAAATGCAGGCAGGGCACAGGACAAAGCACTCAGGACAAAATGTATGTGAAATGCTTTGATACAGTAATGGAATACTATCAGATTTTAGTATATTGAGTGAAAGTCACTTTTTTTACATCTTTGAATTTCCCGCCAGTTCCGTCCCCATACGCCATGACGTCGCAGGGAACGGAACCCAGAAGACAGATGCTGGCATCGGCCGGAGGAGATGGCTGGGGACGCTGCAGGGGGGACATCGCAGGAGCGAAGGACAAGGTAACTGCTGGAGGGATCCCAGAGCAATGCTGTAGGGTAATCCTGAGTGTAGCTCGGGGATAACGCTTCTGGTTCTGAAAGCTAACCCCGAGCTACACTCGGGAATACCGCCCAGGGGGGTTAAACAACCAGAAAAAATCAATATGTGGATAATGTAGAGAAAACATCAAATATGACATGGAGATAAGGACCTGTGCAAATTATATAGTTATATACTGCAGGGCCAGTGACTACGTCCCGGGGTAACAGACCTATCTCATCTAGGTGCTAGTCTCCGTAAATCGTAACCAACGATCCCAAATGTTGTTATATTTGTTGGGACATCCTCTAACATATATTCATTTCTTCAAGGGTAGGGTGTTACTAAAAGTTTATTTTTACTTCAACTTGGAAGAAAAAAAAATAAATAGGAGCAGAAGTAGGGGTGTTCCAAAGTACATTGCTTCAAAATGTGCTTAAGGAAGTGCGGTCTCCTTACGTTTACTAATTGTGTTCTAAATACACCTGTTACAGCAGCCAGGAGTGCATGTAAACCTAACAAGTAGACTGTCGGCTCCCACAGATCCCCCAGTAGTTGCACTGTACATATTCTATGCTTTACACATATAACTATTTTTTTTCCAGAAAAATGTAACCATACCAGCTGAAAAGTTTTATCAGGTTCGGGGACATTCCTAGGAACTAGATTCCCATCCTCCGACAAACATTCACTGGTACTCCAGATGCGGACCACAGCACTCCAGCACTTGAGCTAAATGAACAAAGACAAAATGAAAGTTAAAAAGGGGTCTTATATTTCACAGTTTTTTCTGTTACAACAAAATAGACAAAAATCACCACTTTGTCATGTACAGCGTGTGTTTTTGATAATGCCCCATGTAGACGGGACACTTCTGAACGATGGAAACTGACTGCTGGAAAACGTAGGTTAAAAAACATCTGTTTAGCCGCGTTTGCATAATGCGTTTAGAAGTGTTTTTTTTTAAAGATAAGCACAGGAGAACCTCCCAAGTGCCCAGAATGCACTGAAAAGTGGTAAATTATTAACTATTTAAGACTGGTTCAGACAAATACAAAGAGTAGAAGCAGAGACAGCAGTATGTGTTGAGATAATTAGGTGTGAGCTGCTCATTAACATTTCTTTTGTTTCCAAGGGTGGGAAAGGTGTCTGGTGGAGGGAGTCATTAAGGTCACCTGGCAGGGGGTCTGCATGAGGAATTTGAGGTGTGAATGGTCATTAACATATCTTTTGTTTCCAAGGGTGGGAGAGGTCTGAGGTGTGAATTGGTCATTATAATGTGTGACAAGCTTGGTAGGAACATCCTGTGTTCAGTGTTTTGTCCATCTGAGTACCTTGAAAACAATTTGCCTGCATTTTTCATGATAAAAAAAGGCTCTGGACCAGGGGCGGACTGACCATTTGAAAACTCAGGCACTGCACCGAGGGCCCGGGGTCAGTAGGGGGCCCCATGAGATGCCCCTGGTACCTTTTTCATAGGCTTTTTTGAATTTGGGCAATGACACAGGGGCCATATGATCCCCTATTGCCCGGGGGCCCCATGAGTTGTCAGTCCGCCCCTGCTCGGGACAGCATTGGGAACTGGAAGAGTTAAAAAAAATGTTTTCAAATGCAAACACTTATAAAACGCAATTTGCCGCGTTTACAAGCGTTTGAAACGCTAATAAAATCGACTGCTGAACGCAAGTTTTCTGCGTTCAAAAAAAAACTGTAAACGAAGATGTGTACATTGACACATAAGAAAACATTAGGGAGAGTTCAGGGGCTGCTGAAAAAAAAAACGCTGAACAGCTCCTAAACGTGAGTTTATCAGCTGCAGTGTACATGAGCCCTTATTGCTATGACAAGGTGAATTTCTCATGTGGAGGTCTGGAGCCTTCGATCCATCCAGCTCATAGAGACAGATTGGTAAACTTCCCTTCCATAGGACTCAATAAAAAATTGAGTTGGCAGTGGGGCATCCACCAAGCTGCATAGAGAAGGTCTCGGTGGAGTGGGGACATGTGAGCACAAGACTTTGAAGGGCTGCCAGTGAAGGGTGGCTGAGGGCCCTAAGAAGGAGAACTTTACTGAAAGTAGTGATCCTTAGAGAAAAACAATGGACAACAAATTACTAACCTCATGTAGCAACACAGTATTGCAGTACAGGATTCGAAGGGCTGTTCGGAGTAAAATTCCATTCTTTAGTGGAGGACCTGTTGATGTACAAATCGCTTTGTGTAAGTCTTGGGATAATGCGGATGATACCTTCCAAAAGTTGATTGCTGTATTTGCTTTGCTTCACACTTAGGAGAATATAGTATATCCTGTTCTTCTGCATGTAAACTACCCCCCCTCCATGCAAGTCAATAGATGAATGCAACTCCAATGCAAGACTTCTCTCAAATCAAAGGTGGTTTTTGAGCTGCTGGCGAGTCTGAATCCGATGTACACTAGGCCTCAGCAGTTTACAAAGGCTGACAGTTATTTTACAATTGAACTCTGGTCAGCCTGTAAAAATGCCTTTTGGGTAGCTCCCCCTCTCCTATAGTAAGGCTCTAATGCTCCTTATAACTTGTAGATTAGAACATGAAAGAAAAAAATAGGATTTTTATACTCGCCTTCGGATTATATTGCCTACAAGGATTGGACATTGGCAAATAAATTGTAGGCCGGCTCAAGGTATAAACCCTCCTACAGAAACAGGTTAGAACCTCACTCAGCAGCATGCAACACACACCAACCAAAGGTAGCACCCTCAACGACACAAACATCCAGTTTATAAAACTTCATCAAAAGTATAAACTGAAGCACACGTAGAAACCTTACAAACTTGAGCTATTGATGCTTAGAATAATCCAAAAAGCACCCACACTCCTGGTAGAATAAGCCGCCACCAGTAACGATAAAACTTTTTTTCTTTTAACCACTTGTGCTCCGGAAAGTTTTACCCCCATCATGACCAAGCCATTTTTTGCTATTTGGCACTGCGCTACTTTAACTGGCAATTGTGAGGTCATGCAACCCTATATGCAAATTACATTTATATAATTATGTTCACACAAATAGAGCTTTCTTTTGGTGGTATTTGATCACCAGTTTTATCATATAAAACAAGAAAGACCGAAAATTAAAAATCAAAAGAAAAAAAATTATAAAAAATTCTATAATTCTAATTTCTTCATAAAATTTAGGCCAAAATTTATTCTGCTACGTTATCTTTTGTAAATAACAACAAAATCCCAATAAGTGTATATGAATTGGTTTGCGTGAAAGTTATAGCATCTACAAACCGTGGTGTATATATGCAAGAAATCAATCCTGATGTACCAATGACCAATTTAATTTTTCGAGGCCCTTCAAATGCTAGGACAGTACAAATACCTCCCAAATAACCCCTTTTTTTGGAAAGTAGAGAGCCTGAGGTATTTAGTAAAGACATGGCGAGTTTTTTGTATTTGTAGTTGTAATTTAAATATTGAAAAAAAAAAAAATATATATATTTTTCTGTTTTACATACTGGCACCAGCGCAGTATAGTGTCGTCAAATGACATGTCACAGTGATCATGGACACAATTTTAAAAATATTTTTACATAAAAAAACAAAACAAAACACTTTTTCACATACTTTCATTAGAGTAGTTGTGTCACCATAGTAACTGTGCTACTCTGGGGGGTGATCAGGGATTTTTTTTTTTTAACCACTTTGCTGCTTCAATGATGATCATTGTAACTGCAATGCTTTGAACTTTCATTAATGAGTTTCATTCATAACAGCTGTGATTACTAGTGATTTGTGAGTGGATACAGGTAATCACATGGTACAGGGTGCTGTGATTGGCCCAGGTAATATGTGATAGCTGTGGGCCAATCACAGAAAACAGATATAGGAAGCAGAGGGTATGATTGAGATCAATTCATAACAGCTTTGTTGACAATGTGATCACGTGAGCGCAGCGCGCTCCTACATGGAAGCAGGCACAATGACGTACATGATTGTGCCTGCACGTGCCGCCCACCCGCATTAAAATTAGGGTGGGCAGTCAGCAAGTGGTTAACCTGTAAGCCCAATAATAAGCTGATGGATTTACTGAGAAATGGTAGACTTGGAAGCTGCATAACCCTTCCTTGGGCCTTCAGGAAGCACAAAGAAGGAATCTGTTGAATTACAGTAGTTGACATCAGGTAATACTTGATCGCATGAACCACATCCAAAGTGTGAAGAGCCTTGTTCCCAAGCACCTGCAGTGTGGGACAGAAAAATAGCAACACAATGTCCTGGTTAAAATTGAATAAAAACACCTACTTAGGTAAAAATGATGGCTGAGGCCACAGAACCACCTTGTTATAGAGGAACACCAAGAATGGTTCCATACAGGAAAGAGCAGCGAATTTCAAAAATCTGTGAGCTGAAGTAATGGCAACCATAAAATAATCTTCTGAGTCAGAAGGACTAAAAGGATATCCCAGATGGGTTCAAACAAATTTTGGTAATACAGAAAAGTACCAGGTTGAGGTTCCATAGAATCAACAGAGTCCTGATCGGTGGAACAAGAGTCATGATGCCTTGCATAAAGGAACACTAAGGAATGTGAAGCAATTGGTCTGAAAAAAGGACCACCAAGACCAAAATCCAACCCGATTGTATTCATGGCAAATCCCTGATCAATTACAGACTGAAGAAAAGCCAGGATACAACACATGACATACTTTTGAGGATGAAATCCTCTAGCCTCACACTAAGCAAAATAAAATTTCAAAGTTTTGTGGTAAATCTTCCTTGAAGTTGCCTTCTCAGCCAGCTGAAGATGTCTGCCTGACAATAGTATCTGGAATATCTTTGGCAGATAAGGAATAAAAGTTCTGCCTAGGACAGAATCTGATCTACCTCCAATCTTCCCACAGAGAAGACACAACGCATCTGACAAACAGGGTACCCAGAACTCCTTCCAGCCTGGCACCCATAATGAGGATCCACCAAAAGACAAAGGACAGGACTTCAGGATTCCTCAGACATTAAGACAAGGACAATCCAGTTGGCAACTGTTAAAAAGAAAAGAAAAGAAAGAAAAAAAAGGGACAACCCAATCCTCAGTGACAAATAAAATGGTCTGTCCAGAGACTAGACTGATTTGTCCCACAACATTAGAATGATGCATTGCAGAGGTCTGGATGCATGCGAAAGCAGATTGTTGGGTCACTACTGGACAGAAGTTCAAATCGGAGACTTGAGAGCCTGAGATTTTTCCTGTTGAATAAACTATGTCCAGTACTAGACGCAGATACTGTAAATGAGTCAAGTACAGCTAAGATTTGATTGTTCAGGATCCATCCCAACAACCGTTCACACCTGGACAGTTTAAAATACATAGACGCACCAACTCACCAACATGGCCATCCAAGTATCCCACAGTGGGAATGCTAAAACAACACACATACGACAAACCAGATGAGTGCAGATGAGGAGATTAGCAAAAAAAGAAAAAGTTTTTTTTTACACAGCAGAGCTGAAGTAAAGATGTTCATCTTCCCAGAACACTAGCAAAAAAGTATTAAAACCTGAGCTACAATTTTGATTAAGTGTCCAAACGTCCTGTACATAGAAGTATAATCCGAAGGTTAAAGACTTTGTGTCTTTCATAGTACAAAAATAAAAAAAAAATTGACTATTATAGCCTCAGACTTATCAGAACCTTACTATAGAAGAAAGGAGTTCCCAGAAGGGTATTTTTAAGGGAGTTTAGCATTTTAGGCTGTTCGCATGGACAGGTGTTTTACTGCATTTGAAATGTAGGTCAAATGCAGGTCAGGAGATGCCAATATACTTCAATGGTGTACTGCAGGTGATAGTTCTCATGCTTCTTTGTCTTTCTTTTGATACAGAAGGTCCTATTGAGATGCATATGCATTGCAGGTAAAGCAGATCAAATGCATTTTGTTTTGCTGTTCTTTGAGTTTACGCAGTGCTGCAACAATGTCCTTGTACATGAACCCTAAACACAGGTCACTACCACATGGTGTTCGGTCAACAACATATGATAAAAGAAATGTATAATAGCACTGTACATAATTTTACTTCTTTATTATGGTCCAGAAAAAAAAAAAAAAAAACAGACAAAATATTGCACAATATTAAACATTTGCCGCCCGCCCTATGGCCGAATGGCGGCCAGCAAATGTCATCAGCGTTCCTGGTGGACGCCATATGGCGTCCTCCCGCACATGCGCAGATCGCGCTCCTGCAGAGCCGCACAGCGGCGCGATCTGTCACCTGCCGTGTACCTCGGACACGGCCGATGACAGATCTGAGTATCGGCCCCCGTTGCCAGTACCATGTGTGACCTGCTGTGACCAATCACAGCAGGTCACATGACAGTTGTATACAATGGATGGCTTCATTCATGCCATCCATTGTATACTAGTGTCTAGCTGTGAATGGTCACAGCTAATCACATGCATATGTCATGTGATTAGCTGTGGCCAAATCACAGCTAAGCACAAAAAAAAAAAAACCCTGAATAAATCGATGTCATTCAGGTAAATGCTTGCTTATAGCAAAGTAATTCTTATTTGCTATAAGCAAATTGTGTAAAAAAAAATACGGATCACTTCCCCAAAGTAGTACAATGTTACTATAGTAACATTGTACTACTTTGCTCATAGTGAAATATGAAAAAAAAAATCTTAGAAAAAAAAAAAAAAAAAAAAAAATATATATATATTTTTTCATACTGTCACCAGTCAGTGTCCCTGATCACCGCCATGCCAGTTATATGATGACGCTGTACTGCACTGGTGACAATATGTTAAAAAAAAATAGTAAAAACAAATTTTTTAATTTTTTTCATTTTCTGAAAAATGACAAAAAAAAAAATACTTCAAAAAACTCGCCATGCCTGTTATGAAGTACGTCGGACTGTCTGCTTTGCAAAAAGGGGTCATTTGGGGGATATCTGTACTATTCTGACATTCTTGGACCTCAAGAAATTAGATTGGCTGTCAGTACTTCTGGATTGATCAATATTCAGATCTATCCCATAGTTTGTGAACTCTATAACTTTCCTACAAACTAAAAAATACATCCTAATTTGGGTTATTTTCACCAAAGACATGTAGCAGAATACATCTCGGCCTAAATTTATGAAGAACAATTATTTGCAAACTTTTATAACAAAAACAAAGAAAAACGTGTTTTTTTTTTTGGTCTTTTTTTGTTAATTTAGCAAAAAATTAAAACCCCAGCGGCGATTAAAAACCACCAAAAGAAAGCTCTAGTTGTGTGAAGAAAATTATAAAATTTTAGTTTGGGTACAATGTTGTATGACCGTGCAATTGTCATTCACAAAGTGTGAGATTGCTGAAACCTGAAAACTGGCCTGGGCAGGAAGGTGTAAAATTGCCCGGTATTGAAATGGTTAATATTACACATTCAAAATTTGAACTGGCTTGTGGAGCTTAAAGACAGCTTTTCACATTTTTTAGCACCTAGTTCTTTAGTGGACTTAATAGATCAAGCTGAGAATTTACACACAACACGCATGTGCCAAAAACACTATATTGACCCCAAGCCATTATGGTTTAGCTGTACAGGCCTGCCCCTTCAAACCATCATCTGTGACTTTGCAAATCCTTCATGTGAACAAGCTATTTACACCCCATGGGGTGGACCGGTTCCTTTCGCCGAACTTTGAGGATACGCTGCTTCTCCTAGTCCTTCCTTGTGAAGGCATTACCATTTTCATATGAATTATACCTTGGTCTGGTCCCAAGAATATCCTCTCTCCCCCGGAAGTCACACATCTCCTCGCCTCCCTCAGTACATTCTTCTGGTTCTTCCTATTCTCCTCCCCTCCTCTCTCTTTTCTACCTTTACCCTTTTACTGTGGCCTTACGCGGAACCCTCATGTAGTTCAAGGAAATATTGCTCTCCTCCCAGAGCTTGCCATGTCTCACCTTACCTTGTTATGCAACACTTTCAACTGTTCTCAAGGGTTCCTCATTAACCTCTTGGGGCCGGAAGAACTCAAATGTGCGGCCTCACGGTGTCTGGGCCTAAAAGGCGAGCAGCTGCACATTTGTGTTCTATAAAAAAAAACATGTGGTGAAAGCGTGCGCCCTGAGCGCTCCCAGCACACATGTCCGGTACTCACGGAGAGGTCCCAATCTTCTCTTTCGATCGAGACCTTTCCCGATCATGTGACTGCCGTGACCCTAAACCCCGCCCTGCCTCCTGGCTTCTGAAACCCTTAAAGGGCATTGAGGCACCAGCGCCAAAGGGTTAACTGTGTATCATATTGCAACCCCTTTCTGTGGCAAGGCAACCTGCTCTCCCTTATCTCCCTCTTTTTTTTTTTTTTTTCCTTTTCTGTTTTTTTGTTGTTTTGTTCATATACATGTATTTGAGATGCCTTATGTTTGTTCTTTTGGCTCTGAAATCAAAAAGTTTGTAAACCCTGCATGCGAACAAACTATGTAAATAAATTGTTCAAAGTCATAGATGATGGTCTCTGTATAGCAAAACCTGCCCCAAAGAATTTGGATCCTCATACTTTCCTAAAACCCACTTTTATGGCATCCATGTTCTAGGAAAGTTGCCCCAGTATAAGTGAATTTTAAACTGGTTAATTACAGAGATGTTAGAATTCACAAACTATAAAAAACACAGAATATGGAGGTCAGAGAACTAGGAGTTACATGTTTAATGCTATGCGGTTGTATTTGACGCCACACAAGCAGTACCTTCACACGGAATCCACAGTTCACCCGCTACAGGCTTGTTCCCTGGTGGACAACTGCTGGTTTGTACCATAGTAAGGTAGAGTTCAAACTGGTCCGGTGTCAGAAGTGAGGCTACAGAAAACTGCATTCCCTTTTTCTGCAGCAGAAATTGAGATGCTGCAGCGAAGTCGCCAAACTTGCACATATAGAAGGCCATATTCTGCTTCAGGCAGAACAAGCTGCATGGGAAATTAGCAGAAAAGAAAAAAAAAAAAAACACTTTACAGAACCTTCTCACATTCCTAAGGGCAGAGTGAAAAGCATATTTCAAAATAAACTACAAAAAAAATAAAAATAAAATGCTGTCTGCAATACATGCCCATTTCTCTGTCCTTTGTTCCTGTAAAGAAGAACTATACTTACTTTCACTCCAGGTTGCGGTGTCTCAGGAGCTCCCTGCCAGCCGTGTCTCAGGAGCTCCCATGCCAGCCGTGTCTCAGGAGCTCCCATGCCAGCCCGTGTCTCAGGAGCTCCCATGCCAGCCGTGTCTCAGGAGCTCCCATGCCAGCCGTGTCTCAGGAGCTCCCATTCCAGCCGTGTCTCAGGAGCTCCCATTCCAGCCGTGTCTCAGGAGCTCCCATTCCAGCCGTGTCTCAGGAGCTCCCTGCCAGCCGTGTGTCTCAGGAGCTCCCTGCCAGCCGTGTCTCAGGAGCTCCCTGCCAGCCGTGTCTCAGGAGCTCCCTGCCAGCCGTGTCTCAGGAGCTCCCTGCCAGCCGCTAACATCTTGGTCTTGTCTGCTTCTGGGTACCAATCTCTGACTCTTTTCAGTGGCTGGGTCAAGGTGATGTCATTACAACGCATATGCAGGAGCTCATCTCGGCAATGCTAAAAATGTACATTGAGCTGCACGTGCACAGCTCTTTGTACAGTGTGGACAGGCAGGTAAAAAGCCAGTTCAGAAGAGACGTAGTATGCCTCTTCTGCATTAAAAATCCTGCCTTTTCCACTTGAAGGACCTTGCACCTACAGAAAAATACCTGTAGACCTGTCCAAAATGCACATGAACTTAAGTTCTGTTGAGGGCTGAAAGAAAGAAAAAGAAAAGGAGGGCGCACTGGCCTAGTGCAATATTCCAAGGGGGGTTTATTTAAAAGTGGAAGAAAACATATATACTTACAAACAGAATTGTTGTACAGCGAGATAGAAATAGCTGTCCGCTAGCAGTGCAGTGGTAGGCAAGACCCGGATTATTATTATACAGGACTTATATAGCGCCAACAGTTTGCTCAGCGCTTTACATTATAGTGGGAGGCAATACAGTAACAATACAGTTCAATGCAAGAGGGATTAGAGGCCCTGCTCCTTGGAGCTTACAATCTAGGAGGGAGGGGATAGTGGTACACAAGGTAATTAGCTGTGGGGGATGGAGTGGTAGGAGGAGTAGTGGATTCCAGTATTAGCTGGGGGCGGGGTAGGCTTCCCTGAAGAGATGGGTTTTCAGAGTGCGCCTAAAGCTGAGCAGAGTAGGCGATAGCCTGATAGCTTGGGGCAGGGAGTTCCAGAGGATGGGTGAAGCCCTTGAGAAATCCTGGAGACGAGCATGGGAGGAGGAGATAAGTGAGCTAGAGAGTAGGAGGTCTTGCGAGGAGCAGAGTGTACGGTTTGGGTGGTATTTAGAGACAAGGTCGGTGATGTAATTAGGGGCAGTGATCAATGCAAATGCCAAGGAGGTACATTCCGGGAATACGCAGTGGCTTACGTGTTTCAAGAGCAAGCTCTCTTCTTCAGGGAGGAGAAGGGCTTTCCCTTGAAAAACGCGTAAGCCACTGAGAATTATCAGAGATAGGCTCCATTGCTCTGGGTCTACCTACCACTGTGCTAGTGAACAGCTATTTCCATCTCGCTGTACAACAATACTATGCAACTTTTAAATAAACCCCCTTGGGATAGATAATGCGCTAAGCCAGTGTGCCCTCTTCTCTTCGTTTTCTTGCAGTTGGTATCTGGACTATCCCAGTCAGTTGAGGGCAGCAAGGTCCTATAGATCCCTCGGTGGTATCTTTGAGAGAACAGACAAAAGAACTGTCCTGAGTACACCACACTCATGTGCAGGAGGTTTCAGAATTGTATGTGTGAGCTGACCGCACACAGCTTTTTGTGGAGTAAAGTCATCTCTGCCACTTGTCTTTTGCCAAACGACTCAACTCTTAGGCTGGCCATACACTATACAATTTTCTGTCCAACTTCCTTTAGATTTACCTCCAACTATGTAGTGCAAGGGCTTGCCTGAATGGATACAACTGAAAGTGTTGTTTAGGTTTGACCTCATATTATATGTTTGATAAATCTAAAGCAAAATTCGCAAGAAAAATTGTAGAGTGTATGGCCAGCCTTATTCTCAAATCTCAACAACATAAAGGCTAATCATTCCTTACTCCGAGATACGTAGGAGGGCTTTTTGAGCTGATAGAGTGCAGAGAACATAGAAAAGCTCAGAATTTCTGCCAAGAGTACCAGGTGGGGTTTTTTAGACTTAAACAGATATAACAATTTGCTCTCAATGGTATGTTTAACATGATGTTCATTGTTGGAGTTTATATATGCACTTTAAAAGAGGACTTGCCATTTTTTTTTAGTATATTTTTCGATTCCAGTTTTAAAAGTCCAGCCTACAGTGCCAGCCTGGTTCTTGGACCACAGGGTAACAAGCGGTGTCAGCTTGACTCTTGAGCTAGCCTGTGGTGCTGGCCTGGCTCTAGGTCCTGATGCTAGCCTAGTTCCTGTGCAGGAGTCTAGCTCAGGGATTCCCAAAATTAGGGTGCCTACATGAGTTGGAACTTCAGGGAGCGAAAGAGTGTGTCATGATCCGCCTGGCGGCGTCTCTATCGGTCCACAGCACGGATTTCCTCAGGGCGTGGGGTCTAAGTCCCAATCTGCTTATTCACCTAGGGCCCCTGATGGTGGGGATGGACTTGGAGCAGATGACACCAGGTCGCGACCCCTGAGTACGTCCGACAATGGTAGAGAGCACCGTCAGAGGAGTGTGGGGTAAGGAGTCTGCTGTAAAGAAGCTGGCAGACCTGGTAACCAGGGACGATCCCTGCGGGAATGGATGGATCGTCTGGGTGGCTGGAAGCGTAGTCAGGCGGGCCAGGTCAGCAACGTGCGGGCAGCGAGGTACCGGAGGAGAAGGCAGAGAATGGTCGAGGTCACAAGCCGGGTTCAGTAACTAGCGGACAGCGCGGTACAAGGGGTCAGGCAGAAGGATGGTCAGGCAAGCCAAGGGTTAAGCAGGATACAATCAGCAGGGTCAGGTACAATGCAGAGGTCGGCAACAGGATCAGGTATCAGGACAGAGCACAAAAGACCAAACGGCAATTGACATACCTCTAACCCAGTTTAAATAGCCCGCCCTGCGCGGTCATTGGTGCCAGGCGCGTGTCCGCGATCACGAGTGTGCGCATGCGCGGCCATTGCGATGCCCGGGTCCCGCTGCCTGCTGATTCGAACGCATCGGTGTCCTGCGCATGCGCCGCCCGGCGTATCGCGGCAGGGACACCGATCCCTGACAGAGTGGTTTGTGTCCTTTAGTGATGACTCACTGAGCCAGCTGAATGTTTTGATGGATATTTTTCTAATGGAGATCTGAAGATTTCAGAAGAATGGATCTTAAATCAATATTCCTACAATTTGCAAAAAAATGTCAGATGGTGAAGAACTGAAGGAAGATCTTATTGATTTCATGACAATTGCAATTTGAAAGCAAGACTTTAGAGGAGTTTTGGCTATAGCCACTGGCAACAATCCCATGCAAAAGATCCGACAGGCTGGTTGTATTGACGTTGATCAATGTATGCACTTCAGAACAACCAGTCTGCCCATAGATCGATCAAATTTCGACTGGTCCCTGCTGAACTAGCCGAGATTCGATCCATCTATGGCCGGCCTAAATCCACCACTTCCCTACGATGCTGCTCAGTCTAAAAAGGAGGAAATAAACAGAGCAGGAAGAAAGATGACAGATTCTCTGTAATAGGCAGAAATAGAACTTACCCAGCCTGGTCTGGACATTTCACTGCATTCAGGTAACGTACTAACTGCCGGTAACTGCAAAAAAACCAAGATATCGTTATCTTTACAAGAAATTCATGTTTCACAGCCTAGGTTGTGCAGTGTTGGTATTGATAAAAGTGGTTGTAAACCTCAGACATGAATATGAGAAAAGCATGTCCCTCTAAATCAGTGGTTCTCAACCTGTGGGTCGCGACCCCTTTGGCGGTCGAACGACCCTTTCACAGGGGTCTCCTAAGACCATCAGAAAACACATATTTCCGATGTGTAAAGAGCAGCTACTGTGTAGAAAGCAGCTGCTGTGTGCAGCTACTCTGTTAAAAGCAGCTACTGTGTTGAAAGCAGCAGTATTGGAGGTAAAACGACACTCATGAATTATAATTACTGGGTAAATAATTCTATGGTTGGGGGTCACCACAACATGAGGTACTGTATTAAAGGGTCACGGCATTAGGAAGGTTGAGAACCACTGCTCTATAGTGTGTACTTGTCTCAATTCAGAGCACGAAGTGTCATTTCCGCCTACTGCTTCATTTCTCTACCATCACATTGAATAGCTTCTGACAACTTTTCTACACGTCAAGAGAAAAATGGTGAGAGGAGAGCGACCTGCAGAAAATAGACAGCCTTGGCTCTGTTCCTGTGTGAAGGGGGTGTGTCCCTTTCCTCCAATCAGCTTTCAGAGCTGTCCTCACTGTGCTCTGCAGAGAGTAATTTCAGCGCTCTGCCCCCTTTTTTTTTCTCAACTCTCAGACAACTTTAAAAATTCAGCACTTTGAACCAATGTAGAGAAGACTGCAGATAAAGAGGTACAACCTATAACGGAGGATTTGTTTCATCTCTGTGACTGAAGTCACATGGTTAACGAGCATACACGTGGGGCGGAATGAGGTGACAAAGACTGAAGGACCAGTAATATGGTGGGGGGCTGTATGTCATTTCAATGCAGTTTTACTTGTTTAATGTAAGTGCAATTTTAATTAACTTTACTGGTTTACATCAACACTACACTATGGTGGCGCATATGTTTGCTTTGAGAGAACATCAGCAGAGATACGGAGAGAGAGACAGAGGTGGATTTAAAGCGGTATGGATCCTGGTAATCTGAGTTGGCTGGATAGTTGACTAACAGGTAGGGCAGTACAGTGGCTAAATGGTTAGCACTTCCGCCTGGCAGTACTAGGGTCGTTGGTTCGAATACCAGCCACAGCACCTCCTGCCTGGAGTTTGTATGTTCTCCCTGTGCCTGTGTGGGTTTCCTCCGGGTACTCTGGTTTCCTCCCACTCTCCAAAGACATGCTGGTAGGTGAATTGGCTCCTGTCTAAATTGGCCCTAGCATGTGTATGTATGAATGTGAGTTAGGGACGTTAGATTGTACGCCCCTTGAGGGTTAGGGACTGATGTGAATGTACAATATATATGTAAAGTGCTGTGTATATTGATGGCGCTATATAAGTACCTGAAATAAATAAAATCTGAGGAGGCATTCTCATTATCCTCAGAGTGGGGACAATGCTCGTTTGACCTATATTGATTTATAGAGAGCACACCTATAATCACGTTGGTGTGAAGAAGTCCCTGAGTTACAGCACTGGGATGGTGGGATCAGTTCTCTTTGTAAAGGAAATTAAACTTTGACCGCACTCCAATAATGTACCAGATAAAACATCCATTTATTAGAATCTTCATATAAAAGCATAGATCACAACTCCAACATACAGAGGACAGTTACCGCATTTCACACAATAATGTGCTTAATTATAACTAGCATGTAATGTACTGATTAGAAGGCAGCTTAAATAATCAAATAGACAGCTGAAACCAAGAAGTCAAAAACCTCCCACACACCAATTTAGAAACGATCTTTAAAAACCATTAGCAGCAGTCAAATATACTTCCGAAAGCCAAATTCACAAATGACAAAAAAAAAAAAAAAAATACATTCACAGACCACTGATAAATGAAAAAAGGATAAACTTACAGTCTACCCAAGAAAACAGGAGGTAATATATGAATCTTATTAATATAAGTGAGAACACATTCAGCCAAATGTTTAAATATCTACGCCTCCTGAATGTATATACAGAAAAAAAGAGAATGTAGAACAAAAAGTACACACACACACACACGCTACCTTCTTAGCTGTGCAGGAGGGGAAAGACAAATAAAAAATAAAAAAATGGCACAAAAAAAAAAAAAAAAAGACCAAACACCGGAAAAATTATAAATCTAACCCAAAAAATTATATAATAAAAACAGCATTAATCATAAAAATAAGAAACATCCCACTCACAATTTAAGCCTTGAGGGATGCGAGTCTAAATGAAAATACCCACAACACTTCCCTCCTGCATGGATTGGAGTCTTAATTTTCTCTATTATATGCATGCTAATCGCTGATAAATCTCCTGCATGTAGTAGAGCGATTATTTCTAATATTGTTTAGATGTTGCCGGAATCTATCCTTAAGTCTCCTACTAGTACGCCCTACATATTGAATTTAGCAAACTTTGCATGTTATCAAACAGATTACATGTTTTCTATCAGTTGACCTTGTGTTGTCATTTTAGAGAGACACTTGGCAGTACACTCAATGATATCATCAAGCAAAACGGAGATCATGTGAAAGCATCTGAAATGACTAAAAGGCATGTGCACTTCTATAGGTGTTTGTGTGTAAATATAAATAATACAATACATATATATATATATATATATATATATATATATATATATATATATATATATATATATATATATATATATAATAAATAAATACACACTCTGTATGTACCATATTTTTCGCTCCATAAGACACACCTAGGTTTTAGAAGGGAGAAAACAAGAAAAAAAAAATATTCTTAACCAATGGACTGCAGACACGGTACAGGAGATGACCAGAGACTGCGGACACGGTACAGGAGATGACCAGAGACTGCGGACACGGTACAGGAGATGACCAGAGACTGCGGACACGGTACAGGAGATGACCAGAGACTGCGGACACGGTACAGGAGATGACCAGAGACTGCGGACACGGTACAGGCGGATGACCAGAGACTGCGGACACGGTACAGGAGATGACCAGAGACTGCGGACACTGCGGACACGGCGGTACAGGAGATGACCAGAGACTGCGCACATAGTACAGGAGATGACCAGAGACTGCAGACCTTTGGGGAGCGAGTACTCGAATTTGACAGGTGCCCGCTTCCCACTTCCGCTGCGATCACCTAGTCGATCGGAAGTTGTCCTTGCTCCCCATAGTCTTCTGGGACACATGACAGGTCCCAGAAGACTACGGGGCCATTCACAAAGCGCAGCGCTTATAGCGCATGCGCAGTGGGCACCCGGCTGTGAAGCCACAAGCTGGTGCCCACACAGAGGATGCCGGTGCCAGGAAGAGAAGACAGCCAGTGAAGCCAGCGGTGATGAGGACACCGCTGAACGAGGAACAGGTAGGACCAAGGAGCAGATTGTGCTGGACAGAAGAGCAGCCAGCCCAGTATTCTAACATGGCAGCAACGGGGGGAATACCGGGCCGGCCACTCCATAAGATGCACAGACATTTTCCCCCATTTTGGGGGGGGGGGGGGGGGGTGGTGGGGGGGTTGGTGGAGTGCATCGTATAGAGCAAAAAAATACGGTATATATATATATATATAGAGCAAAAAATATATATATATATATATATTTTTTTTTTTTTGGTTTTACACCAGCAGCAGTGCAACACAAGGCACATTTATCTATATGTGAGGGTTTACAACCACCACGTTAAGGCTCGATTCACATACTTGCATCTGTGTGCGGGTGCATTTGAAAGGCTACTGTAGTGCTTACCTTAGGTCCATCTCCAGCTTCTTCACTCTGGATTGTACCACCGGCAGTGGCTCACACAAGTATTCCCGCTTGCCTTTATGTGTCCTTGTTCCTGACAGATTCTGACCAGCAAGCACCGATGAAAGGAAAAAGTTATCCCATCGTAAAACATTCAGGCTAATGGGAGAAAATTCACAATGTCAGCACATATTGTGAGCAGTTAAGTCACCTAATTTTATCCCCTTCCCTAGAAGGGTATTACTTTTTCATTTTATCAGTTCCAACACCTGTTGACAAAGAAGTGTAGACAGGATGGGATGCTACATCAGGGAGGAACATGGCAGGGTAAGTATACATGCCTGGGGGAGATGAACTATATACAGTCACAGCATTAGAGAGGTGAAGAAAGCAAAGAACCACAGAATGAACTGAGCGGAAGCAGGAAGATTCTTGCATTGCAAGTCCTTAGATACAGTTTTCACTCCTTGTCTGGAGTTCAGCTTGACCTTATTTATGGTTAAATATGTGTTTACCATTTTGTTTTCAAGGAATACAAGGTATAAAGGGTATAAAAGTAGGAACAGAAACAAAGCACAACCTCATAATTATAGATCCAAATGCATAATATGAGAAATAGGCCATTTAGTCAAAATATAAACAAGGGTGAAAATATAATTCATCACATGCCTTGGTGGAAATAAATTAGTATAATAGACAAGTGGAATAGTGCGCATAATCTGAGGTAGACAAGTATGTGGCTGGTCCCATCCTGGTGAGGAAAGCTGTGATGTAATAAGAATATATAGAAACGGGGTAGGCAGAGGAGTAAGGGAGGGAAGAAGGAGAAAGAGGGAGGTGGTAGGTAAATCTTTTTATTAGTTAACCACTTTACAACTGCGCTATAGCCAACAGATACAGTGTGGTTGTCCAGTTCTGGGAGGGTGTCATATGACGTCGTCGCAGAATGCGCCCCAGCACTGTCAGTGATCATTGTGTCCTACAGATACAGCTGATCACATGACTAGGTAAAAAAAAAACTGATCGCAGCGTCCAATAATGCATCTGATCACAAAGTACTGTCACAGCGTGAGGAAAGTACTGCCGATTACCAACAAATGTCACAGATCAGTTTTGCACTGATTATCAATGCAGCCCATTAGTGCTGTCCAGCAGTGCCACCCAGTTCCCAAAGCTGCCTATCAGTGCAGCATCATCAGTGCCTCCTCATCAATGCCCACCAGTGCTGCCTATCAGAGCCCATCAGTGCCGCCTGACAGTGCCCATCAGTGCCACCTGACAGTGCCCATCAGTGCCACCTGACAGTGCTGCCTTATCAACGCACATCAGTGAAGCAGAAAAATTACGTTTGTTAAATATTTTAATAGAAAGAAAGAAAAACTTTTTTTTTTCAAATGTTTTGTTCTTTTTTTGTTTATAGTACAAAAAAATAAAAACCCTAGTGGCAAATAAATACCACCAAAAGAAAGCTCTATTTGCGTGAAAAAAAAATGATAAAAATTTCATATGGGTACAGTGTTGCATGACCGTGCAATGGTTATTCAAGGTGCGACAGCACTGAAAGCTGGAAATTGGCCTGGGCAGGAAGGGGGTAAAAGTCCAAGTAGGCAAGTGGTAACTGTGGTGTTGTAGTAAATATGTGGAAGAGTCATTTATTGGAATGACTAAATTAGAGGCTATTTCTTACAGAGGTCAAGCTTATATTGTATCTAAACCCCAAAACAAAAATGTTAGATATTGCAGTTTACTGATCCTTCGATGCAGTGCTGCATTTGTTTTCTATTTTCCCTGAAAGTTATTATTAGTATACAGGATTTATATCACGCCAACAGTAGAGCGCTTTACAATACAACGGGAGACAATACAGCAACAATACAGTTCAATACAAGAGGGATAGGAGAGCCCTGATCCTTGGAGCTTACAATCTAAGAGGGAGGGGCTGGTGCTACAAAAGGTAATAACTGTGGAGGATAAACTGATGGGAGAAATAGAAGATTCCGTTATAAGCTGAGGGCAGGATAGGCTTCCCTGAAGAGAGAGGTTTCCAGAGAGCGCCTAAAAGTGGGCAGAGTAGGCGAGAGTCTGATAAATTGGGTTAGAGAGTTCCAAATAATGGGGGAGGCTCTGGAGAAGTCCTGGATACAAGCATGGGAGGAGGAGACAAGGGAGCTAGAGAGCAGGAGGTCGTGGGAGGAGCGGAGAGGACGGTTTGGGTGATATTTGGAGACAAGATTGGTGATGTAATTTGGGGCAGAGTTATAAATGGCTTTATATGTTAATGTTTTGAATTTTATTCACTGCCATTGTAGCCAAAAAAGCTAAAGGACTTCTTCCTTGCTCATTATATTAAGTACAGACACATAATAATAAAGGAGTCTAAAAAGCAGGGATGAGTTAACAAGCTGCTGTAATAAAGTGTTTTAGTAGAAGTTTTTTTATCTGGAGTGCAATGTGGCCTGGAAGGACAGACAGACATGCAAATTAATGACAGAAGGTCCTCATAGATTTCATTGTAAATGTCAAAGATCTTGCCTTATATTATATGAAAGGTTAAAAGGAAATGGGAAAATAAAAGATAAGAAACATCAGAGTATGAGCCCATCAGAATCCACAAGTAACTGAAATATTAGTTCAGTATAGGTGCAAAAATATACATTCATAAAAATGTCAATAACAAAATCTAAAACAAAAATGAGTACATGCCCTTTTAAAGGCAATCAGCTGCCTTCAGATCAGTTTACCTGTTTATAAAATTGCAGCAGTGTCGCGGAAGTGGGATGGACTGAAAAAACATAATAAACTTCTCATAGAGGTTCCTCGGATAATCTGTTAAAACCAGAAGGCTTTGTAAAGTAGCCACAATCCTGGGAGAAAACATACACCAAAATGTCACACAAAATGTTTCCATTATATTACATTTCAACCCAAGATCCATCAGCTATTGTTATCTAAAAGTTCTTAAATATATTTATACATTTTTAAAAGGTTCCTTTTAATGACAGTAAATTAGGTCTATTAATAAACTGCAAACATAGAGCACAATACTTTTGGGCACACCAACAATCTGTGGAAAAGTACAAATTTCAGTAAGTTTTCCTTTGTTAAAAAAAGAACAGAAAAGTAAAATAGTTTTTTTTTTTTTTTTGTACTCAAATGCAAAATCCTTTTTTTTTCCCCCGTCAATTGAGGGACACAGGGAAACTTTAACATTTGGGTTTACTACTCTTGGAGGATTGCACACTGCCTGGCATAGAAAAAACACTGGAGGCCAGCCCAAATATACCCTCTTACAACCAGAATGCCTCAATTTTGTTGCAAAGCAGTACCAAGAGCATGATCATAAACACAGAGGGATGGAAACTCCCCTGATGGACTCAGAGAAAAGGGTTTTTATGATAAGAACAAAAATCCAATTTTTCTCCTAGATTGTAAGCTCCCAGGATCAGGGCCCTCCTATCCCTCTTGTATTGAACTGTATTGTCTGCTGTATTGTAAAGTGCTGAGAAAACGTTTATATCCTGTATAATAATAAAGTAAATCCTGATAAAAATGTTGGCGCCATATAAATCCTGTATAATAATAATAATTTATTGCTCACTGAGGGACATGAAAATCTTAGATCTTCAGGACATCCAAAAGAAGTCTACGGCATGGGGAACAACATTAACCACTTACTCTCCTGAGGATTTACCCCCCTTAATGACCAGGCCTCTTTTTGCTACTCGGCGCTGCACTAATTCAACTGATAATTGCGCAGTCATGCAATGCTGCACGCCAACGAAATTTACGTACTTTTTTTCACACAAATAGAGCTTTCTTTTGGTGGTATTTGATCACCCTTGCACTTTTTATTTTTCACGCTATAAACAAAAAAAAAGACCCAAAATTTTGGAAGAAAAACTATTTTTTACTTTCAGCTATAAAAAAATATATAGTAAACTCAAAGTTAGTTATAAATTTAGGCCAAAATGTATTCTGCTACATGTTTTTGAGAGAAAAAAATCTAAATAGGTGTATATTGATTGCTTTGTGTGAAAGTTATGTCTACAAATTATGGTATAGATACTGCAATTTACGCCATTTTTGCTATACAGGGCTGTGCTAGTTTAACGGACAATTGCACGGTCATGCAATACGGTACATAAATGAAATTTATGTCCTTTTTTTCACACAAATAGAGCTTTTTTTGGTGGTATTTGATCACCTTTGCACTTTTTTATTTTTGGCGCTATAAACAAAAAATTTATTTTTAAAAGAAATTTATTAAAAAAAACAATATTTTCTCATTTTGGTCGAAAAATAATATCCAAAAAAACTAAAATTTCGTCATAAATTTAGGCCAAAATTTATTCTGCTACATGTTTTTGGTTAAAAAAAATCTCAGTAAGTGTATATTGATTGCTTTGTGTGAAAGTTATAGCGTCTACAAACTATGGTATAGATAACTGAAATTTACACAGCTTTTACTTTGTGACTGCCCATCACATTTCTTGAGGTGCTAAAATATCAGGATAGTACAAACACCCTCAAATGACCCCTTTTGGAAAGTAGACACCCTAAGCTATCTGCTGAGAGGCATATTGAGTCCATGGAAGATTTATTTTTTTTCCACAAGTTTCTGGAAAATGACAAAAAAATTTTTTTTTTTTTTTTACACAAAGTTGTCACTTAAATTATTTATTTCTCGCACAAGCCATGGGTATATGTGCAATTACACCCCAAAATACATTCTGCTACTTCTACCAAGTACGGGGATACCACCTGTGAGGCTTTTTGGGAGCCTAGCCACATACAGGAGCCTGAAATGCGATAACCACTTTGAAAGGCTGAAGGTGTGCAACGTCCTCATTTCACTTCCTCACTACCTATCACAGTTTCGAGGGCCCTGACATGCCAGGATAGCACCAAACCCCCCCCCCCCCCAAATGACCCCTTTCTGGAAAGTAGACACCCCAAGGAATTTAGAAAGAGGCATGGTGAGTATTTTGCAGACCTCATTTTTTCTCACAAGGTTTTGAAATATAAAAAA